GCAAAACCAAGCACTGTGGAACCAGGAACAAAAAGGGATTATGATAATGTTATATGTAAACCCCATTCAAGATGCCGATTATAAGTAGTGAAATTATCTTTTTAGGTACACGAGGAGATTGAACAGGTTCTAGGCAGAGGCGAACGACCGTCCATGGCCAAGCGGCCACAGATGCCGTACACCGCCGCTACAGTCGCCGAGATACAACGTTATGGAGCCGTGTCGCCTATCGGTCTGCCCCATGCTGTGCCTCGTGATACAGAATTCTACGGGTACATCACAGAATACATGTTTGTCTTAGACCCATAAATACAATTTGTGAGTGTAAATGACCATAAAAATTGGCAGTATTTACTGGACACAAAATTTCTATGTTTTAATGTAATACTAAATCGAGTGGTAGATTAACAATCCGATTATCAATATGATTTGAGTAGTTCAAATCCACATTTAATTATGACCAGTTTGAACTAGATTTCGCAAAAATTAAAGAATTTGTCTTCTAAATGATACACCCTACTGCATCTATTTTACTAAATGAAAGCTTTAAATTGGATCAATAATAAGCTAAGGATCTTTGAAGAAATGCTATATGTAGTTTGACTTTTGTTTTTATACTACACCGTTTATCACTCGAATACCTTTATCTTTTCTTAACAGATATGTGATACCGAAAGACACCATAGTGTTCGCCGGCCAGTGGTCAGTTCACCACGACCCAAATCTTTTCCCAGAACCAGAGAGGTTCGACCCTGGGCGATTCCTCGATGAAGAAGGAAACTTCAAGAACAACGAGTATTTCATGCCCTTTTCGCTGGGTATGTCTAACAGTACATAGCTCTAAAACATTATATACTTATATACACCTAAATGCCCCAATATCTTTCTGTATACCTCATTTACCCTTTTTGACACATATTTCTCTTCAGAGATTTTTCAACATTTTTTTTCTTTTCATTCTTTCGTATCAGGTCCACGTTCATGCATGGGACGGCCGCTGGCCGAGGTTCAACTGTTTCTGCTGTTCACCAACCTCCTGCAGCACTTCAAGCTCGAGTTGCCAGAGGGCGCCACAAGACCATCACCTGTGGGAGTCATGGGCATTACTCTTGCCCCACAGCCTTTCGAACTTGTAGCTATTCCACGTGGCTGAAGAGTCATGCCCAGGGTTTAAGATCCCGTTCAAAGAAAGCTTGTAATGTTTCGAATACTATAGTTGTGACGAATGCTTAAACCAGTATATTATAATTCCAAAATCTAGAATGTTTATATCAATAGTTGGCATTTTCAGGGCAAGAAATAGGTAAATAAGGTTTGAAGTGAAAAGGTTACAATTGGGCTTTTAAACAACCGGATATTTAACGATTTTCAGCAGGTTTCTACTTGTGTCGATTTGTCAAATTGTAAAAAAACTGGCCTTGAACAATGTTTGATGTTTTAAATACTACAGTTGTAAGAGACTAGTGAATACACGTAAATCTGAAACAGTATATTACAATTTCAAAAGCTTGGATTTGTATATTGATATTTTAATTTTTGGGTCAAGGAATAGGCAAATAAAGTTCCAAGTGAGGGGTTTTAATATTTTTTCGATATGTTAGGATTTTTAGCATGTTTCTACTTGCGTTGATTTTTATAACAGAATAGTTGTTTGTCGTGGCGTTTTGAACAATAAAAACCGTTTAATTTCAAACACATTTAATGTCATATGTCTATTATATTTCATGATTTTGATCTTTTGAGGCTGTTTTTTCCATTAGTATTATGGAATAATAATGATTAACCCATAGATTCTGGGTTCGAATCCACCTAAACGCCCAAAAGGCAATTAACATGACTCTGCTCACTTCATTCAGGTAAAAATGAGCACATATATAGCTAGCTTCTCAAATGGGACGTTAAATAAAGGTCTTATGCTTGGGGAGAGTAAAAAAAAACACGCCCTGAAAGAATCAGCAACACCTTAATATAAAGAGTAGGGGCATGCGCCGGTCCAAATGATACTGTCTTGAAATTAGTGATTCACTTCAAATCACCCTAACGTAGGCCTGGCCAATCCTATCAGCTACACAATGATTTACATCATCCCCGCCCCTGACGGAGACCTGGCGACATCGTCTTGTATCAGCCTGGGAAATAGTATCACCTGTGCGGTACCGGCGGTGAGGCATAACCCGGACAACGGAGCGGTAGAAACCCGCTAGTCAACCTACTTCTACCTCCATCCCAAACGTTCTCATCGCCTGGATCGGGGTCAGAGTCACCACTACTGTCTGTCTGTGGCTTAAAACGGAAGGGTCTCACAGCCGATCCTGGCCCAGACGCGCCCGCCATTATTGTTTTCGGTAGTAGCAGAATGTTCCCGGGACGTCAAATCTACAGTCGCTGCGCCGCCTAGCGGACAATCGGGCGCTAGCCGGGGAACATCGAGCGGGTCAGATATAACCGCAAATATGTGCGGGGTTGGCCCAAACCAATAAATCACCATTTACAAATAGGATTTTGGGTAGAAAGGCCCCAAAACTAAAAGTATTGGATTTCCCCTTTAATTATCTCATGGCACTTGCAGAAAGTCAGATACGTTTCTCAATTGAGTTAACTTTCAATGTATATGTTTTTTGAGTATAGGCATTTTATTTATCCAAGTATACTTTTTACAGGGATTATAAAACAATGTATAACAACACAATATACATATTTATAAAGACTTTATACATATTCATGTAGACTATATCATTTTAGAGGTACTTGGTCAAACTGATCAATTTAAAGACTATGAATAAATGACTGCACATAAATATATCAATGTAAAACACACACACAAACAAAAACAATCACAATACCCGCAATGAAAAACAGCAGCAGTTTGATAGACGCAAACCAGCTAGTAATCTTATTATCTGCCATACACTGTAACTGTTACAATTGTTGTGTAATAAAATTTTACTTGACTATAGAGTCGATTCCGCGTCACCGAGTGGGTTTTTTCTCCATGTTTCTAATACGTTTGAATTATTTAGAAGAAAAGAATACCCTAGTAACAAAAGTTCTAAATTTTTCAAAAATTTGAAAATGAAAATTTGAATATATTTGAATTCATTTATATATTTCTGAAACATTTTGAAAGTGACTGTACAAAGATCTCTTTATTTAGAATAAATTTGAACTACCCATTTGTTTCTTTCACTATTCGAAATATTTAGAACTATTTCAAACAAATGAAAAATGGTAGATGTGGGTAATTGCCCCCATAAAAGTAGGTGCTAATCCTACTCTTCTGTATTCCTCTGTATATTTTTAGATTTCACTGCTGGACACTGGTGGCTCTTTTGTGTAAGGCATCAATGCCTGACACCCAGGCAGTCTACCCTGTACTTCACAGGGATGTGTGAATTACTTCCTTCCCATCCCACTGACCTATTTACAAAATGTTAGAAATAATTCGAAATAATGGTAAAAAATGGTAGAGTGCTGTTAGAAATATTTAGAAACTATTGGAAATGTCATATTCCACATCAGGAATATTTCAAACGTTTTAGAAAACCAGGGAATTATTTAGAAATTGACAAGATGTTCAAAATATTTCCAAATTATGAAATTTCTTAGACAAACAATTACAAAGAATTCAAAACATTTCTAAATAATGACAATAACAACCCACTCGATGACGCGGAATGGACTCTATCTTGTATAAAACGGGTGCATTCAGATCACAATACAATGTTGTTCCCAGGTTACTTTATAAGATCATATTTTTTTAGATCTGCAAAAAAAATTGAGGGAAATATATTGCACAATTTTTTTAAATAGATACTGTCGGTAGAGAGTTGTACTATAATAATGGTTGCAATATGTTTGAATAAAGAAAACTCCTAACAAATGTGACTGGAAGAATGAGAAGATGTAAGCTGCTGCTGATTCTTGTTGTGAATGAATGAATGAAAGACCTTTATTGTACGTTTGTGCTCTAACAAGCTAAGTACAGGTCATGGATAGACAAGGAAATGGATACAGCAATGATACTTAAACTATACATACTAATGTGATCTACTATTTACATTGTTCGACTTCTTCTCGCTTCTTGACACAGTTATAGATGTACGAGCATATAGAATTAGTGATACATGGTTTGTCAAGTTTCATAAGAAATAGGAATTTTTCTGATTCATTTAAATGTGCAAAGCTGGGGAACTTATCTATTATATAAGAATATAGGGAATCTCTCAAATTACTATATAACGTACAATTGACTACGAAATGATACTCATCCTCAATCTTATTTAAATCGCAAAATTGGCAAATCCTTTGCTCTAGAGGAATGCGGTTGTGTCTGCCTTTTTCTATGTGGAGTTTGTGTGAACTTATCCGGAGTTTTGTGAAGGCTGTTCTGTGTCGAATGTTTGTAATTTTCAGGTAATTTTCCTCGTGGTAAGTATTTTTTAATAATCTGTATGTCCGTAATTTGTTGTTGTTCCGCATTTCTGATATAAAAGATTGGAGATACATGTCCTTAAGACGTTGGTTGATGGAAGATATAATTTGGGGCAAATTGAAGGTAGAAGACAAGGACGAATGCCAAACATAGGCAAAACCGCTTTCCTCTAGTGTCTTACGAACACCAGCAGCCCAGCATTTGGCACCTACCGCATCTAAATCAAATTGGCACAAAAGGGCGTCTGTAGAGAGACTGTCAGCTGGCACGTTCTGGCGTATTCTGAGGTAGTGTTTAATGGAGTTGAGTGACGCTTCTAACCTCATGGGATATCTCCCTAATTCAGCCATCACAGCAAGGTTACAAGAAGATTTTGGCACATTTAAAGACTGTTTGCAGAATTTTAGGTGCACGGCTTCAATTGGGGATGATTTCGGACTTTTGAAGGATCCCCATATTTCAGACCCATACAATAAAATCGGTTTTACGCAAGCATCAAAGAGTTTGTTCTTTACAGAAATTGAAGCATCGGCTTGATAAATGGATTGATGAATTCCAAAGAGGGCTCTCAGGCCTTTGCTGTGTAAGTATTTGTTGTTTGCTTTGAAAGTGCCAGCTGAATTTACAACAATACCCAGATAACAATAGTTATTTACAATTTCGACTACATTATTATTAAAGAGGAAGTGACAATTTTTCGGTAATCGACCTCCTTTAGTGAAGACAATAACCTTAGTTTTCTTGAGATTTACGTTCAGTTGCCATAATTTACAATACTCTTCTAATCTACTTAAAGAGGTTTGCAGACCTTGTTGTGATTCTGAGAAAAGAACTAGATCGTCTGCATATAACAAGCATGACACTTTCATGTTGTGTAAGCTAGGAGGATCACACAAATGGTTATCAAACTCCTCCGTCAAATCACTTATAAGTTGGTCATATCTGCCACAGCATGAGGTGGTCTGTAATAGTCAGAAAACAGCCATCGTATATTATAGAAGACATATTTTACATAATATTCAACAGAAACTCGCTGGTGCAGGTAACATTAAAAAATTGCTGCAGCAGAGAAATTTTGCCTGCACCACTCAAAAGTGACATTGCACGTTTGCCTCACAAATATGAGTATAATACAGGATGGATTTAACCTTCTACGTTAGAAAATTACTAGAAAGGTGACTTTGAAATCCAACATTGCTGTCCTAAAATTGCATTGGATGCCTTCTATGCCTTTCATTGGGTGTATGTATTTTGTCCTTACCTCATAGTCCACTTTTACTGCAGTATGGTTCATACAGGTCCTGTACAGTTGGGACTGGTTTTCACATGGTTCAGTGACAGGGAATGTGCACTCCTTTGACAATGGTAACATAAAAATCCATTAACACAGGGGCTGTTCTATAAAAATTTTTCCTAAACAACTTATTGTACAGGAGGATAAATCATGTCATATTCCTATAAGTCACAGTCCTTTTTTTCCTGTTGTAACTGTTTCTTTTAATCAGTGTGTAATAATGAAGACAGGTGAACTCAGAGCAGCCATCAGGGTCTAGTGGCATCTATAAATTCTTAAAAAAGCAACTTAAAATCCTGATTTGTACTTTATAATACATAATTATACATCACAGCAACAAATAAAACATTCAAGTTGATACTGCTAGTAAGATAAGTATAAGAATCTGTGGACAAATGCGAAAAGTGTCCTCACCTGAGCTGAAGAAAGATCACACCATTTGGCTGAGTTGTTCTCATACCTGAAAATAAAAGAAGAAATGGTAAATCACAACTTGATACATAGAATGTTACCCTGATCAGAGCTTGCAATTCAAGCCAGCACAAGCCAGTCATGGCAGGTGATTTGCATTTCTACATTTTATTTTTGCATGTCTGTATTTTTTCCTGAGCTGATGTCACCCAATGCAAAAAAAAATGAGAGAGATGCAAATAAAGATGCCCGAAGTGGGTGATTGGGGAGCATGCTAGAGAGTTTACAAAATGTCACTTTTAGAAGGCCATACAAGCTCAATTTCTCAGTCATCATGATTGGAACAAACTTCTGAGTTTGTTCCAATCATGTCCAGTCTGAAAGTGACAATATTGTATGTACACTTCCGATATCTGTATGTATTTTACAGACTTTTTTTGGTGTCATTTGGTCCTTAATCAGAAGAAAGTTCAGCACAAATCACATGACCTGAGCCGTTCTGACCTGACAGTCCCTTGTTGATAAACCTTCTGTCTGAGCTGCTCCAGTTCACACAGGCTGCTCTCTCTCAGGTCTGGACAGGAACTGGACCGACTCCGCAGTGTATCCAACAAGTCCTGTTTACTTGTAGTATACTGAAAACCAAGAATATTTTTTAGCTGGTAATCTGCACCTGTCTTGTCACACATATATACTATTAGCAAAATTGAACCTGTAAGCTTACTAATGATACCAAATTATATGGTGTTGTACAATTAAGAAAGTCCTTTATTCAATAGACCAATTTACCTTTCACGGATCAAATGAACTGTTTCTGGGGGGGCATTTAAAATAGAACGCCATTCTAGAACCAGCTTTCCCTTGCAGGGTCCCCCTGGCAGATTACTGCAATGGTCTGCATTCTGCCCTCCACCAGATACCTGACTCCGGTATCTGGTGAGATTGGGTAAAAGGAAACAAGGGACAGCCATCCTTCGTGAAGTATCAATAAGCTTTAGACTCCTTGTACCGGTGCAGGTCAGGAAATTTCAGAAGTTAAAGTCACTCACATTGGTTATCTGCCAGGGGGGACACTGCAAGGGAAAGCCGGTTCTATAGAACTGTGTTCTACTTGAAATGCTCGCCTCCCCCCGTGATGTAACAGTTCTTTCGATCTGTAAAAAGGTAAACAGGTCTATTCGTATGGCAGAATGTAAAGTGAATAACACTAATATGTTCAACATACCTTTTGTGCCGCAGAGGTTGCCACATCTATCCCTACCACACCCAGAAATGTTTGTGGCACTGTGCTTGTGTTATACACAGCTTTTGCAGCTGTAACTACTTCACCTGAAATAGATGTTTTAGCACTTTAGTCACCTTACAATGTCTATTGGGCCAATTTCTCCTTTTTTCAGCCACTTCTGAAGACTGGTATATATAGAGAGGACAAAAACACTGTTTACTTGAGCTGCAATCAATGGCATTTACTTGCTCATGACACCAAAATACGACCTTATCTGATTGTAGTTGACATAACTAGTATTACTAATGGCTAACATACATGTTTGCAATAAATATGCTTGGTTCTCCTGTTACATTTGAAATTTCAATGCCTCATTTCCAAAAATTCAGCACAAGATGCACCAGACTATTTCCATCCCTACGTTTTCTTTCATTTTTTTTCCTGAGCTGACAAAGAAGCACGGATATGCAAACTAAAATAAAACTGGTGTATTCAAAAATAGAACATAGGTGCTTTTGCAAAAGGAGGGGGACAGGAAATCCTGCCGGAGTGTTGCTAAAATGCACTTTTGGACGGCCGTAAAAAGTCAATTTCTCAGTCATCATTTCTAAAACTAACTTTAAGTAACCATACTGCATGACGTCTGTCACATTTATATTGTATTCTACAGACTTTTTCGTGTTATATGGTCTTTAACCTGGCAGCATGTAAAAGAAAACTCTCTGTATGAATTAGAGTATAAATTCAAGCTAAAGACAGGCATTTCTTGTTGACAGAAAATATGTAATTTACATGTATTATTATAATTACCTGCACCAAAGGCATCCATGTATGGTTCTGTCCATATGACGTGGCCCTGCCCCTCTCTCAGTGTGCTGTAATAGTCATAGTACTGACTGAGCTGCTCCGCTAGGGACGCTTTACCAGCAGTTTCTACTTCAGACCACACCCCACCTTCACTGGAACATAATGCAGCACGGATCGAGGACATTCAGGTATATTCACCATAAAGCAAAGGCATTGTAAATTTAAAGTAAATTTCTCTTAGAAATAAATTTCAATTGCATATGACCTTGTTGATTTATGTGGATGAGATCCACTGGGAACCCAAAAACTTATGCAATCATGTGAATAGAAAAAACGTTTGGCAAAAAAAGTTGCCTTTATTATAAAACCTACAATGTACATGTCATAAAGTTTATACAAATTACTTAAAACACACAAAGTATGGCAAATAATAGACTTTTTAGTACTTTACAATTTACATTTTTGCTCATTTTGCAGCTGCTTCATACAATTTGAAGTATATGTCATAGTACTGACTGAACTGCTCTGCCAGTACTGCTGCTCTATATATTATATGGGCGAACAGTTTTGAAATGCAATACACAGTTCACAAGGCTTTTGATTGAAAAATAACCATTCAACTGTGTAAAATCTGAACAAACTGGTTTTCCTTCATGTAGCTTTTAGCCATTTAAAAGGAGAATTTCAATTTTTAAGTTAAACCTAATATCTAACTTGTTTATGCTGTCTATTACAGTATAATGTAAATGTAAGTCAATATTAAATGCACTCAAAAACAAAGACCAAACAAATGCATCCTAAAGTTATATTAAAACTTAATTAATAGACAGGGAGCATACTTGCATGCTATCATCTTGGTGATGGTAGTGTCTGCCAGTCCTCCCACTGAATATGTAAATATTGAAGCCACTTTCGAGCCATCCTCCCTGTTGGTGAAAAAAATATACATCTAGCTATGAAACAACTGACAGTGTATAGTAATGAAAGATATTCTAATTGCTTACTTATGCTCAAATATCTTACTGTAACAAAAAGTTAAGTAGAGAAAAATAAAGAAATAACCATGGAAAGTTATCATTTGCAGACAAATGTGACATATTCCTTCAAATCGGTATATACAATATTATTGTAACAATTTATTGCCAATTTTTGAGAACTTTACATTAACCCCATTTCCTGTGTCTGACCCTATAACTAGAAATATTCTGCCTATGAACTTTTTCCTGAACAATGTGCTATTTAGACGCCTTGACTGCAAATAGATACACAAACCCACCACTCAACCACCCACAAAATGAGCCAGATCTCTACAGTCACACTTGCTTGAAAACCATTAAAAAGGCAGACTTGCTCTGCATAGGAGTTGCACGCTAATGGCCCATCCAGCAACGACACCTTGCATTAGTTAGCAGTACTGCAGTTAATCCAGATTACAGTACAGTGCATTGCATTGTATACAAGCCAACAAACCTTTGGTTTAAGGATCTTATAATCTGAGTGAGTTGTTCAGGCTCCCTCTCTCCTCTGGTTGGTTCTCCATCCGTCATGAATAACACCATCTTGTTACACCCTGCTGTCCTGGAAATGACCTCTGACCTCCGCAGGATGTCAAAGGCTGTCCTGAAAGCTGCTTCAAAGTTGGTGTGTCCATTTGGTTCTACTTTCTTCACTTCTTGCTGCCAATAGAGTTAAAAAAAGTTACTTCAGTTCCATAGTGTTTTACATGTATTGTCATTAATTTCTTATACAAAAAGAGGATTATGAATCAATAAACTTAAGGAAGATTTATTTTAATAAAATGAGTATTAAATTAAAGATTATAAAAATGAATGAACAAACAAAAACACTTAAAACAAAAACATCTTTGTTTCACTGATTTTGTTTTAATGTATACACTAGTATACAGTACTGTCATATGCAGGTAAATTTGAGAAAAATTCAGAATTGAGCATTTCAAATTCCTATAAGAGGATTTGGTAACTTGGCTGTCTATTCTCTATTGATATTTCTTGCCCTCACTTCATGAACATTCCATAAGGGTCTACTACGTAGAGGTACAAAGAAATTAAAATGGTGACCTTAACTTAAAAGTAGCAAGCTAACAAGAGAACAATCCCAATAAACTCTTAGAAGAAAATACAAAATGCAAATGTTTGACAGCTAATCTCATAGCTTTCACTGATAATTCCCATTCTCTTTTTCGCTTAACTGTTAATTGCCATTCGAAGGAACAACAATATTTGCCATCCTATTATTGGTTAAAGAGCCATTCTCTTCTGGCTGAACTGCTAGTTGCCATATATTATTGGTTGAACCAAATGTATTCTTAGTTAATTAAACAGCTAACTGCCATTCTCTTATTGGTTGAACAGCTACGTCATTCTCTTATTTGCTGAACAGCTATATTAATATATTTTGCCATTGTCTTTTGGGTAAATAACCAACTGTTATTCTCTAATTAGTGGACACCTAACTGCCATTCTCCAATTGCTTGATCTGCTAATTGTGGGGAACAGGTTTTTGATCTATTAAGCTAAGCATAAGAGCATATGGTACTGTAAGGTGGCGTCGGTGGCGCAACGGTTAGAGCGTTGGACTTGGAACTGAGAGGTCCCGGGCTTGATACCGTGGCCCGACGTTGTGCCCTTGGGAAAGGCACTTTACACGACTTCCCCACCTATACGGTGGAGTGACGCCCACCGAGCCTCTTAGGCTAATCTGTCTGTCTGGGTGCCAAAAACACCTTACGGATTTGGTGCGCCGATGTGACAACATCTCATATTGGCCACTGAGAGCTGTAAAATTTATTATTTATTTATTTTATATGGTACTGACCGTTAGAGCCTGGATGTTGTCATGGGTGGCCTGGACCAAAGTGTTCTTGTTCTGGATGGTCAGTTGATGCGCAAGTGTTGCAAACGAAACAACTGCAACATAATCTATGGAAAACAGATTTATTTTTTAATTGAAATTAATGTGATGTGATCATCTTTTGTTCAAGATCTAGAGTCCCTGTACACATGCATGAAATATAATATAGAATTTAAAATAAAACCTTTTAATTCTAATGAACAATAATTTTATTTGAATTTAATTTCTTGCTTATGGATTTATTAAAATCAACAAAAACAGTTGCTATACAATGCCATAGAATAAAAATATCTGATATAATTCAGGACATGAACTGTAAAATGCTAGTATATTTTAAGTAAAACAGATTTCAAAGAGACATCATTCAAAGAAAAAAATTGTAAACCATATAATCTTTTATCAGCATTTAACTAACACATAAGGCAGAGAACACATAGAAGGCAGAATTAACCCACCTAAGTGTGTGAGCGTCCACAGAACAGAGTTTACAGCCTCCTTAGTTAACTCCATGAGTGTTAAGGGGCTGGACCAGGGGCGGAGGGCCATGGAGTCACTACTGTCAATCACAATCACCACGTCTTTGGGTCCCGTAGTCGCCGACACATACCACGCCCTCAAACGGGGGTCATAGTCATGGCAACGCTCCTGGGCTACACCCGGAAACATTCTGTAGAAAACAAGTCACCGCTATATAGGAGTCGTAACCCTTGTTAACCCATACATGGTGTCAGTGCATAGTGACACCTAGATTTAGTGCACATGGAATCAGTAACACCTACTATAATTTCAGAGCAATGTAAATCACTTACATCAAGCTTCAGTGCACAGTGAACCAGTAACATTTACATGTGTATATTCACTGTGTCAGTGCACAGTAACACCTAGATTTAGTGCACATGGAATCAGTAACACCTACATGTACATGTATTATACAAATTGACACATATATATATGTCATGCATGTCGCATAACTTTTAGGTGTTCACTTTGCCCTGAATCCACATGTATGTGTTACTAGTTTACTGTGCACTAGAGCTAGGTGTTACTGGTTTACATTGCTCTGAAATTAGGTGTTGCTGATTCAATACATAGCTACATAGTATATGGGTTTGTGTTGTAACGTGTGCTTAGCCCAGTGGGGCAAAAATGTCAATAGATATTTTCATTCATTCATTGTCTTTGTCAGAAGGACTATGAAATTGTCTCGCCGCATTGTGGGGACTGCGGATGTAGCTTTAACTCTGGGGGGGGGGGGGTGCGTAACACGGGTGACGATGCATCTGCGGCAAACCGTTTCAGGGTGTTCTGTACCATAAAAAGAGTACAGAGATTCTTTTGTTCTTTAGACCAAATTGATTATTAAAAAGAGTAAAGAATACGCATGTTCATTTCTCTAGAACGATGTACCACTGACGAAGACATGAGATCTCAAACCTCTAGTTCATTCATTCATTCATTCATTCATTCATTCATTCATTCATTCATTCATTCATTCATTCATTCATTCATTCATTCATTCATTCATTCATTCATTCATTCATTCATTCATTCATTCATTCATCCATTACTCCTCCACATACAGTTTCATCCATTTATTCATTCCTAACTCACCGGTACATGCCAGTCTGAGAGGCAAAAAACTGCCATTTAACTCCTGGTTCCCTTTCATCCTTAAACCAGTTATCCAAGAATGAAGCGTCTAGTCCTATTGAAAAAAAATTGACATGAAAAAAATTTAGACTTCTGAAAAACATTTGGGGGTTACGTTATTACTTGGTTGAATATCTTTGTCATATTACTGGGTCATGTTCTAGCATGACCTAGGGCATACTAGGTCAAAACAGTTTGTTTCTTTGTTTTGTAAACAACCTTAAAACATAACACACCGGTTCTGTTAAAAAAACAAACCATATGTAATTTATACAGTGATGTATCCCTATTCTTATGGATACATGTACTTTATATTTTAGACATAGAGATTGTGGCTCTTTGGCATATGCATATCCCCCATCATCTGAGAGCATGCCCCTAACCTTCTAAAAAAGATATATTCTATACATAGCAATTGTCTATAATTTGTCTAAAAGAGGCTTCAACATCAGCTGGAAATAGTACTAAATGTAGATTCTGAAATATTGTTAGACAGGGGTGGCAAATGTAGTCCTTCAGTGCAACAAGTCCTGTGGCAATAAATGCTATCTTATTTCTTTTTGGCCAATTTCTACTCTTTAACTCTTTCTAGCTTTCTAGCTATAAAGGCTACTCCAAAAGGATTTTTTTCTACGAAATAAAAAAAATAATAATAATAATAAACTGGATAGAGAGAGGAAATAGGACCTGCATGGTGTAAGATGCCTTTCCAATTTGAAACTGGAACATCTACTAGATTCAAGTCAACAAGCCAATTAAACTGCCTTGCGAACTTAAATTAAATCATGTTGTTAACATGCATATGATTGTTAATATTAGTTCATATAATTCTATGCTGCACCTCATCATGTCTAGCTATTTGTAAGAAATTTATTTTAAGCCTAGGCCACACCAATTTAATTTCTTGGTTAACGGATTCGCCGCTTCATTTTTTTCTGATTTGCAAATAAAAATAAAAATCCAGAATCAACTGCAAAATGCTCATATTTTGCCCTGAACAGTTGAAAACAGACCTTTTCATCCTAGTTGTTACAGTTATTCCATCTTTCAGTGCAATGGTATCATTAAAAGTTCAAAATTCATTGTTTAAATTTTGAACCAGCCTGGTGTGTTGACTTCATGGCTCCTATCGTACCATTTTGGGCCATAATACGATGCCTAGACCTGTTTTTATTTTTTTTTTTTTTCGCCCGCCCGCTCCATTATTTTTCTACAAAAATCCGTTAATCAAGAAATTAAATTGGTGTGGCCCTATCACACGATATGGTTTGAGCATATAAAAAAAAATGTCCTAAACTCACCTTGTGACAGACAGATGTCCCTGTTGACTTCATCTGTGCAGGTGGCTTCTCTGCTGGGGGTCCGAATGTAAGATCCAGATACACTCAACTTCCTACAAAATGGAAGCATAGTTAAAACTGCATTGCATTAAAGGCCACACAAAGTTGATTTGTTGGTTCCCATGTTAAAAATTAGGCCAAGACAATTCTGTGATAGCCCCAAATAGATTTGTTTGTTTGTTTGTATGTTTGTTTGTTGCGATGTTGTCTTAATGAAACACTGTTCTTAACATTCTTGTATAAAAAATTATGTACCATCAAGTTCTTGCTGTGGGCTGTATTCAAAGCCATGATGACTCAGTTTACTCAATTCCACGCAAATTTTTATTGAGTACACCAGGTGAAATACAGTACTTAATTGTATATATTTCAAATGTACAGTTCCTTAACAAAGACTTGAGTTGAAAATTTGGGTAAGTCTGATTCTTTTATGTTAGAAATTACAGTTTAAACTTTCCACATAATATTACTACTTACACTGACTCTATTTTTTATAACTATAGCTATCTGAAAAAAACTTTTTTTTTTCCCTAGGCTAGTGCATACTCTACACAAATACTACCTGGATACTTGGATAATGTTCAAACATTACTGACCTGTTTGTACAAGTGGCACATCCAGTACCTGTGAAAATGGAGGCCCCGTACTCCTGTGAACACACTGATTCTTCCTCCAGCTCAGGGGAGGAGCAGGCATAGATGTTCCTGTAAAGGTTTTTTTTTTTTTTTTCATGTGAGTTCATAGAAGAGAAATCACACAGACTGTCTGGTTAAAATTGCACACTGTTCTGAACTAATATCATTATGTTTTGTCCTAACACAATTATCCTTAGTGCTGTTAATATGTGAGATTAAATTTAAAGGATACTATATATTATATTGTATTTTCGCAGACTCATAATTACATATAGCACTGATATTGTTAAGACTGATATGATACACATAAGATTAATGCAGCACTAGTAAACATAACTGCACAGTCTAATATATCTGTTAAATTCTTGTTTCTGTTTCTTCCGCATAACCGGTAAACCGCCTTTAGACGTAACACACCAGTTTTGTACATGTGCGTACATGTACAAGCTGCGTAATACCGGACTGTAAGGTTTGAACCACTCACACCGAGAAGATCCTCTACTCTTTTCGATAAGTGCGGTGGGTTTTTTAACGTGCGGGGGTTGTGGCTCTCCCAAACACAGGACCTCCATTTAACGTCCTATCCAAGGGATGTCCCTAACCGAAGCTAGGTACTCATTTCCACCTGAGTGAAGTGAGGAAAGTCGTGTAAAGTGCCTTTCCCAGGGGCACAAGATCGGTGACATGGGCAGGGTTCGAACCCGCGACCCCTGGGGTGTGAGCCGAACGCGCTACCGACTGCGCTACCGACTGCGCCACACGACCCCACATCGACTTGACTCATAAATGACTCAAAGCAGCCTTATGATTATAATAGATTATAGAATGAGTAACTGGCTTAGCCTGTCAGATATTATATATAATATATATATTTTTTTCAATGTTGACAGTAACTGAGTAAGCCTGCAAATGAGAACTGCCAATGAGAATTTTAGCTATTGACTGGCTATAGGCCTGTGCTTTTGGGCTGGTAATACACACTGGATCAAGAAAGCTTCGAAAGGGGTCTGGATAATGAATGAAAGACCTCTATTGTACATTAATTTTGTGCTCTAACATGCTACGTACAGGTCATGAATAGACAAGGAAAAGGATATAGCAATTGCACTTAAATGAAAGCAAACTCCACTAGTCATGACCTGTACTACATATAGTATCTGTATAGCCGGTATAACCGCCCTTCAGCGTAACACACCATCTTCGCAGGCACACGGCTTAACCCTTGAACATCTAACTCTTACACATTGTTTAAAGCCATCTAATAATAAAGCCCCTACTGTACTTGATGACAGCGATTTCTACTCTGCGATAGTTCTAGAAAAGAATACATTCTTAAACACCTCAATCCATGGTTGGTAACTCTATCTGGTACTTGAAGGCATGATGATGAGTCAACGAGGGGGATACAGATTAAACCTTTGAAAATATTTGGAATTTTTTTTCTATTGCTACTTTGTCTACATATAGCAACAAGAAGCAGTCAGAACCTCTGAGGAGAGTGTCTGATGGACACAGAAACGTAAGGCACATCTATATCTTTAGTATCAGTTGTTCACGCCGCCCCCCTCCCAACACACCTGTGAAAGCTACACTGTGTTCCGCAATGACGCTGATATCCAACCAAAACATCCTGCTCCAAGGCACGGAGATATCCCTCTTTGTCTCCGAGAAACCTGTTGAGTTCTTCATCTACGACACTTTTGACAGGAACACTCACAAACAAAGCCAACACAACAAAAACAACTTCACTGGCAGCCATGTTTTTACGGGTCACAAGGGTCACAGGTCAAAAGGCCAAAAACTTCCTTAACAAAACTGAACTTTGGATTCTTTTGACTATCGTTTCTTTCAATCTTTCTTTCTTGAGAATTTTCAGAACCGCTTTGAGAAAAAAATTAGTAAAGTATCAAGCTCCTTGGGGTTTGGATTGAGTACATGGTGAAAGTTCAAAGGTTAAACGACTTCAGTCTAAGTCTGGTCCCACACTTCCTCAATTTTGTCGAGAAGACCCATAAAACGCCAGAGTCGCTTATAGCGTCCTTTGGTGGAAGTCAGGAGGAGGGAAAGTGAGTGATTATTTACAAAGAAGCCGCATGTTACCAAATCTATGTGCAAATGATGTTTACATGTTTGTAAATTAACGTTTTATTGACAAGACGTCTGTAACCATGCTGTTGTAGCAGACACCCTGCCTTTCTCTGGCAGTGCCAATACCATTTATATATGATGTGATGTGTTTGAGTAACAACAGTGACATAGCAATTTGTTGGGCTAGACCGTGTGCAGGTAAAAATTTACCCATTTGCTTTGCAAATGTTATGGATCTTCAAATGTTACCTGTCTAGTTAGTAATACCCTTTGATTGAAAGCGAAATAACGTTGGGTTTGTAATCATGATTTCAGACCATGCTTACTCCAGAGGATGCACTGAAATTCTTGGCTGTAGATCTTAGGATCGCAGATGTAGAGAGAAGACTCCGGGATGATAAGCTTGGTCTTCTAGATGACATCATCCGCTCCTACCACAACTCCGTACCATTTCAAAACCTAACACTCTTTTCTACGGATGAAAAGGACAGGGCAGCCCCTACACCAGAACAGGTCAAACAAGATGTGTTGTCGGGAAAGGGTGGCCTCTGCATGACGCAGAACTTTTTCGTCTTCTACTTGCTACAATCACTGGAATATGATGTATTTTTGATATCCTCTAATGTAAGCTATCCGAAAAACCACGTCATTGTAGGCGCGCGAAACGTGGCGGAAAAAGATGACAATAGGGGCTGCACGAGCAACCTCCATGGAGGAGCTCTGCAGAGCTCCTCCATGGAGGTTGCTCGTTCAGCCCTCAGCTCTGCAGAGCTCCTCCATGGAGGTTGCTCGTGCAGCCCTCCGCGATACCCCCGCAGAGCTCTGCGCCAAAAACAAGCCAATTCGTTGGTTGGCGTCACGGTTCAGTTTTCTACAGAACTCTGTAGATATCAAGTTAATTCAATGTGAGTAGTAGGCGATATACAGCCAGTACTGTGTCACAAATAAAGACTTCGTCACGCAACTCTGCGCACGACAACACGGAGAGCTAGCTCTGCGCCCTAACAAGTCAATTCGTTGGTTGGCGTCACGTTTCAGTTTTGTATATAGCTCTGGAGATATCAAGTTAATTCAATGTGAGTAGTAGGCGATACAGCCAGTACTGTGTCACAAATAAAGACTTCGTCACGCAACTCTGCGCACGACAACACAACTCCGACAACACGGAGAGCTCTGCGCCCTAACAAGTCAATTCTTTGGTTGGCGTCACGGGTTCAGTTTTCTATAGAGCTCTGTAGATATCAAGTCAATTCAATGTGAGTAGTATCAATGGTTTATTTGCATTAAAACACAACAACACTGTCCCAAAAATAGCAGCCAGAGGCTGAATTGACATTGGGGCATCACATTATTAGTATAAAACGTCATATTAAGCGATTAAAATAGAAATAAACCATTACATAAAATGTATATAAAATATTGTCAACAACGTTTCAAGTGCAAATAAATATCGTAGCAGATAACAAAACAGACGGACACTGGTAACACTAAAATAAGTCTTAGGTTAAAAAAAAGTGACAGTGTTACATATACATATTAAGCAGGCGGATCATGAAAGGAAGGGCACTATTCTGATAACGATCAGTTCTGCTGCGAGGAGTGTTCAGTTTATAAGCTGATCTGGTTTGACGACCACTTATTGCACTTCTAACAGGTGGCGAGAAAATGCCGGAACTGTT